TTCCATCTGGTTTTAGATAGCACGGTTATCCTTGTGGGAAATTTATTTCAAAATTTTTTACAATTTTGAGATTTCCCGCTATAAAACTCATATCCCATATTCCCATATTTCCCATATTTATCTACTTCGAACCTATTTACAGGAAAATCTTTCTTCCAAACCTTTCTCGACGAATCCATGCTCTTCTCGGTTGCATATTACGGGAATGGCGCCACAAATTTGGAACAAGCTCAAACCCACAAAATGGACCTGTCTGCCAAACAAATGAAACTAAAACCTGGCATGAGAATTCTTGACCTAGGCTGTGGATTTGGTGGGCTACGCAAATATCTTTCTAGTAAATATCACGTTTCCGTAGTCGGTGTAACAAATTCCCGCGAAATGGCCGTCGCCGCACGAGATAATTGCTACGGACTCAATGTAGAAATTAGAGACATGGATTGGCGGGATTTAGATGAAACTGAACAATTTGACCGCGTTGTAGGAATTGAAGTCATGTTTCATTGCGGTCGTCACAATATGGACACACTTTTCAAGAAGATTCACCAATGCCTGAAACCCGAGGGAATTTGCGTCATTCAAGATTTCAGTTGCAAGCCGGGCTGTCCGAATAACTTTGTGACCCTTCAAACCTACTGGTTCCCGGGGTTTTATATTTTTCACAAATATCAAGTACTCTCCGTAGCAGAGAGATATTTTCGTACCGATTGTGTCCTCGATATGACTGACGATATTGTCAAGACTTGTGCAGATATATTGAAAAATTTAGAAAAATCAAAAAATTCTGGAGATTGGATGTTTGAGGAAAATTTGTATACAATTTATAAACTGTTTTTTCTTTGTGCCGAACCAGTCGTAAAATCAGGGATGTTCAATGCTTATCAAATTACGTTAAAAAAATCAGATAAAAGTTGTCCAACGGTTGATCAATATAATTTAAATGATACGTTCCTGAGAAGGAATGGTTGCAACGATTCTGAGGCCTCACCGTACCTACTGGAATACCTAAATTTGGGGCTAAAATTACGAATTTCTGTCCAATTAAGTGAAACTATGGATTGTGTAATAAATTCGTATATACGAGGCTTTATTTACTGAATTAAAACAGGGTTTTATTGTAACTAAATTTTGTAGTTAACAATGTAGTTAACTACTGTCTTTTACACAAAAGTAGTTGTAGTTAACTTTTTATCTACTTTTCCAGATTAGTTAAAACAAGTACTAATTTGCACATTTCATTTCAATTACATATATATACGGGGACCAACCATTCTAAATCCACATGAATATTGTAAGAAATAGACGCATATTTGTTTCGGTTATACAAACATAATCAGAGCATTTGTGAGGTTAATTTACACAAATAATTATTTAACTTGTTTACAACTATATTAACATGCTCATCTAACATGTTCACTGTTAAAATGTTGTCATGGATTTCAAACCAGTTTGTCAAAACTGATATTCAGTAACACTTGAATAAAGGCCGAAATGAAATGAAGTTATCAGCAAATCTAATACACATTACGTGATGCAGAAAATCCTCATCATAATAAAAAACAGAAGACAAGAAATACATATTTAGACCTTGTGGTCAACCTAGGTTAGTTGGCATTATGAAAGATTTGTTCATACATTTGTTACGATTTTGTACAAATGATTTGAGTAGAATAGAATTTACACCCTACCATTTATTGAGTACTGACACAACAAATAATCCAGTTTTGTCAAAAAGGTCAATTCGTCAATAAAATTCATTCCAAACCTAACCTTAAGTGGAGGAAAGGACTACAGTAGTTTTACGTTTAGTTTGATGTGCATACAAATATTTGCATAAAAAAACTTTTCTAGATGTCGACACGGCAAATGGTCGGTTTTTATGTGCACGAAATTTTTGCAGAAAAATCTTGAAAACACTGCCACTGTGAATTTTGAATGGTATGCTACAATTGACGTATGAAATGTTCCGTAAATAGATTTTTCAGATACTTTTACTCGTTATGCTCCTGCGTATGAAGCATAACGGTGAAGAAAGATACACTACCTTAATGACACCATAGTTCGCCACGCATGTTTAACGTTGCTAATATATCCCAAAAATTCACAGACCATCAAATTCTACATAACTTCATTAAATTTCCAATGCGTGACCTTTTCGAATACCGGGTGTTAGTGGCTTCAAACAAAGCCTTACATCTTTTGGGAATTAATAGTAGTTTTGGCGAAACTCAAATCGGAAGCTTGAAGAAATGAAAATAAAATTTTAATGCAAAATTCCAGCATCAAGGCTGAAGGGAGGGGTGGAACTGGAAGGCGCTAATTTCATTTAATACACAAGGGTTTCATGATGATAAACACAGATTTAAGTTTCATGAAATATTGTAAGTTCTACAGCAATTTGTTCATTGTAGTCCAAAACTTTAGTGCCTGCTCTTTATAATGAATTTTAAAGTGAGTATTGCCTACATACATATGAATTTTTTAAATCGTAGTTTGTGTGATGTTTAAAATGTCCATTTCTTCGAATTTTTACTACATACAAATTTAACTGCTTATGAATTTTACGATTATGAATTTTGTGTTCATTTTGAGATATTTAATTTCTGCCCTAAAAGTTTTTATGCCAAAACTCTCTTGAATTGAGTCCAATATGAAAATAATTCATGGAAATAATTAAATCTATAATTTTGGAGTTGCACTTATCGTTAGGTCTGCAATTGTTTCTACATACTTCAATTTCATATTCATCAGTTGAATACGTGTAGTTATTAAACCATTTCGTTTTGAAAATATTTATATCGATTTAAAAATTATAAAGGAAGTGATTGTATTGCAAAATTCATTTTGCAATCCAGCAATTTTTCAATTCCTCCATATTAATCTACATTTTTATTTCATGGCATAAATTACATAAATAATTAGTTTAGCTACTCATTCACAAAACCACCACGAGTCTAGGTGTCGATTATCATGATGTACAATTACAACAAAACAATTCGCTCCAAGCCTTGATTTTTTCATTATATTTGATGTATAACATATGCTTGTCTGAAAAATTCATAATCAATTAGTTTCATTCAGATGAATTAATTATTAATTATTAATTAATTTCCGAAAGTCAGATTTAGCCAAATCAATTAATTACAAATTTAGGAACCCTTTACTAATTAGTTATTTATTAATTAACTTGATTTTTAATTAAAACACCTCTGGCATGTGCATAATATTGGTCATGTGCGTCTAAGGATATAAAATAGTCGGGCTTATGAATTGCTGTACTATCTCTGATTCGGGCTCATTCGAGAGTCTGTACTATATTTTCCCTCTGATTTAGTTGCGTTAATTGTAATTCAGAAATTATGATTTTTGGAAAAAGGGAACTTTACACTAAAGGTGACCCAAGCAGATTTTAATGTCGCGATTTTACGTTATATCCACTCTTTACAAGATATGTATGTCCATATCATGCAATAAAATAAAATAATGTTTAGCGTATTTTACCATCCATGAAATTTATATTTGGTGGTTCAACAAAAAAATTTAATGTTAAATTCAGTATTACCCTACATAAATTAATTTAATTGAGGATAGACATTTTTACTTAATAAATTTAGTAACAAGCCAATTGGGCAAGTCAAGAAAAAACACCTAATAATTAATTGATCTTTTGTAATTGCTCATTTTATTCATTCACACCAAGAATAAGCTACAAATTTAACCCACGTAGGCACAAATTGGACCAAACACCGACATGGTGCATCTGTCACAGCAATGTGTCACGTTCACGAAAGGAATGCATGGCATGATTCCTGGACCACATCGTTCCTAGAAAATACAAGTTTGTTAACATTTAATTAAAATACATAATCCTAAAGAGCTTGTCTTGACTCAAATATTTACCTGTTGTACCTCCACTCCTTGTGCTACCCCAGTCATTATCTCTTCTCCTTCGAGGGATAGCGACGCTGCAGAAATTAAGGTAGCTGACACCATGCAGGAAACCAGGACGGCAAAAAATAGTTTAACTTGAAACGAAAACATGTTCTCTGTTGGGTAATATTTAATTGAAGGAGAGTAAAATTGGTTGGATCAACTGCCTCTTTTTGACTAAAGTGGTTGCATCGATACTCGTTTATATTGGGCAAATTAATCTTCAAGTGTTTAAATGTTATCATATAATTGTGTATCCATGTTCCATTCTTAATTAACAACGTGATAAGAGAGAGTGGAAAAACAGGGAATGTTGCGTAAATCTTTGACAACTCCGACAGTCGTACGATATGATTTGAGCGACCTTTACACTGACCACATCATGCCACGGGAATTTTATTATTACGGGGTAAAACCCCACTTTGTTTTTGCTCTGTCCGTCTCTTTGTATTCACGATAAGTCTCGAAGGAGAGTAAATTTCCAACTTCGGTTTTCTTTCAAAAATGGGCACGATATGACCCCACCAATTTCCTGGTGGGTGTGGCCCTGTCGAATTTTCGAAATTAGTTTTGATTTGTACATATGTTTTTAGTAGCGATGTTTTCAAATAGATAAGACAACTCCTACCCTGGGGTTTGCCCGAGGTTTCCTGTCCATCTGGATATCATAACTTCGAATAAATGTTTCATAATTAAAACGACATTTTATTTTACTTAAGGTTTTTAACGTATAATCAAATCTATAATTACTCCTGAAATCTAAACCTCATTAAATTCAACAGCCCCCCCTGCACTCGAAAAACCACCACTGATTGTTATAATTATTAGCACAAGTGTACATAAACAATTTCCAATTCTGATCTACCGAAGTGTACCCGGATACGCAAGTGTTCCCTCCAATCTTGCTCTCGATAGAGTAGTAATTCTGAAATAAGATTTATGAACATACTTACATGTATTACATCATAATCACGTCGTAATAAATCCTTACCGTTCGGACTTGGTAGGTTAAGATTTAACAATTTTCCCGAGCAATTTTATATGAAATAGTGTTATCAGTGGGTATCAAATTACAACCAAATTATGAAACTTACATATTGATTGCTCGAAATGTAGTGGCCGCCTTGGGAAAAATATTGGCAGTTGTCTTCCGCATACGATTTGCAGGTGGCTGGCGTAATCGGGGTATTGTTTGGGATGGCGTTGGCATTGGCGCAGTTTAGAGTACCATCCCCGACACGAAGGCAGTATCCGGTTGCCACGTTTTGAAAGCGGCGATACCGGCCTAAGACAGCGGTCTATGCATATACGTGTTAAGTACAGTTGGGTTAAAATATTTACTAGATTACAACCCTGGTATCAAATATTATACCAAGGTTTTACTTATTTCCATTATTTTATCTCCTCAAAATAACGTGGTAACAAATCCATACTGCGGAGTCACTCCATCCATACGTCTCTCTTCCCCGTGGTGTTTGTATTGGCTATAATTTCATGGCATTAAACAGCAACAATTTCTAGGAAATTCAGATTTCTTAATCATTCCTATCCCATTTTCCCTTCAGAGGTAATCTGCCTGAATTTCTTAGAAAATACTGCTACCACCCTGGTAACAAATTATTAGCAAGGTGGAAGAGACACATGATGAGATCCACATTAGAGAGTTGTTATTAGAGAGTTGCACTCTATTTCGGACTTAAATATTTCATTATTTTATACCCATAATTTAATTTTCTTCACACTTGTAATTATTTATGCAGGTAAAACAATTAAGTTGGACATTGGTGCGAATTTATTAACCAGGTAGTCAAATTATTGAACCACCCTGCACACATGTAAATACAAATTTAAGGGATGTCAAATTTAAAACCAAAGTACACTTACATCTTTATGAACATACCACTGACAAAGAGATTGCGTATTACAACCCCACCGTTGCCCGATGTAATCATCTGTCCCATTCTGGTAGTGGAAAACCCAGTAGGTCGTTTGGTAATTGTAGATTGCAACTTTAAAATTATTTGAGTCGGGCCATTCCGGGTTCTAGAATGGTGTCAGAGTAAAAAAAAAAAGTTTATTTTTTTTTAAAACTATTTCCTCATAAATATTTTAGAATAATAAATTTGCTCACAAAAGCATTGTATTTTGTGTTGGATGGATCCAACCCAGTTTCATTGAGAGGTTGGTTGATTTCACAATTTGCGATTGTGGCCAGTAATGAAATCACAATGGTTGACAGGGTCGTTGCACGCATTTTTCTATCCACTGGGAATGAGAAGGATTAAATAAGTGGGTGGCTGGCTTGGAAGATGGCGAAACGTGAAATGAGAGGAATACACAAGTGTCCGAGAAGTTTGTGTGGAATGGAAGAAATTCTGTGATACTAATAAATAAATCCTTTGTTAGGGGGAAATTCATAAAGGTTGCTTCTTTTCCTCGGTTCGGTAAGCTAAAAAAAAGGCTTGGATATATAAATGTCCGTTGTGCCTACATAATTGTGGCGTGTTTTTTTAAACAAGGGACAAGACTATGTACCTATATAGATACATATGTACATTGAACCAGGAATTGTGTACCGTTTTAAAAATAGACCATAGTTTGGACTGTTGTGGAACGAGGAAAGGCTTGGGACATAAATAACTTAAGCCATCAAATATTTAGTATATATATGTACATACATATTGAATATTTTATAAAATATGATGTTTCATTATGCCCCAGTTTTTACTTTTTCTGACCGAAATAAATAAACCAAGCAGGATTTTTGCAAAATTCCGAACCTTGATATTTCTATTTTTTCCTCATTTACTTTCATACTGCATGGAAGTATATGTGAAATAGATAGTATTTTGTCACTCACGCCAACGTTAAATTTCAGTGGCTCGTGTGGAGAGACCAAATGACATATGAAGATGCTGTAAAAAGCAATAGGAGCCCCTGCAAATTCTAGGGATAGGGTACGCACACAAGGTTTATAAGGTCATAAGGTTTTTCGAAATTTGAAATAGTTAATTTTCTGACCTGCTGACTTTTTGTGTCATGAGGTCCTGTTGTAACTAAATATGTTCCCAAATGGTTTGGGTGCAACCTATAGAAAAACGGTTGGCGCCATAATATCCGCAAACCATCTGGGCACAATAAGTACCAGATGAAGATTTCTGATTTAAGTTTTCAATGATCCAGGAAAATTCAAAACGCAATTTTCCCACTGTTTCAGTCGTAAACGGGTGCAGGATAGACGACACGCTTTTTCGACCCAATCACAGTAGAACCGTATTCCAGACGGTCAAGGGGAGGGCCATGTATACCACTTTTTTCGAAATTCGTACTCCCCGAAAAGTTGTAACTGATTTTCTGCAAATCTTTCTTTCTTCAAACAGGACACAACATGAATATCTCACAATGTCGACGTGTCAGCGGCTACTCTTGGATTTTAATGCTGCCACGCTAATTTGGTCGTTCATGTCAACGTTTAGTTTCGGATTTTCTTTAATGCGCACATTTAAATGCGTGGCGGGCATTTCAAATATTTTTTCAGTCAAAATGTCCGATTTTAAAATGGCTGTAACTTTTTGAATTTTAGCGCAAATTAAAAAAACTAAAAACATATTGGCCTAGAATTACGTCCTCTATTTTATAAAAATACATTTTCAAAAAATTTCGAAATTTCGAATTTTTTCAGAATGTTGCAGGTTTTGAAATTTAAAAAAACCAGCTAAATAATAGAAAAAATAGAAAAAATGTCCATCCAATGCATTCCATGGAGTAAAAAATCCATTTAATCCATACCAATCCCTCCATTAAGAAAAATATTCATTAAGTGCACTTCATATTTTCGTTAATCCAATACATCCATTATCCTTGAATTGGATCCGACATCTAATCAAAGGACCTGATTATATGTCTGGATATCCGTTTCATACAGATTTAATTTTTATTAAAATTGATCACATGCTTTTAGAATCGTCACGCAATTCATTACAATAATGGGTTGAATGGCCTAAAATATTTTATTGATGGAAAAAATACTTATTTAGGAGTCACCATCTCGTATGCATTAGAGGTTAATGGATTTTTACCTTTTTTTCCTTTTAAGTGCCATACTTACGGTCGTATTCTTAATGCACAATTTTTACCCTGAGTGTGAGTGGCCACTACCACTCACCATGGTATAAGATAGGAAAGGTGAGTGGCCACTCCCACTCACACTCAAAATTTTGCATTAAGAATATGACCGTTAGCTTCAAACGGAGTAAATAGAATTTTCAAATAGTCTGCAGGTGGTCCATCCACCTGCAGAAAATGAAGTAAAATGCATACAAGATTTTAATTGTTTCTGCCTTGCATCTACTTAAGTTTTTTGGTTTTCATAGTTGAAATTATAGACCAGACAGTCTTGTCTGGAATTTCAACGCTGCCGTCTGCCGCAGACGGCAGCGTTTGACATTTCTAAAACTAATAAAACATGAGTTAAATTTAGATTTTTACAATCCCTTTTTAAAGTGTACGCCTTTGGAGCAGTTCTTTTCTTCACTTTTAGACAATTCAACAAATACCTTTTTATACTACCCAGTAGGCAAAAATACACCGATTCTGTGCGACTTCGCAGCGAAACTTGAACAACGACTCGTTGCGACTCGCTATCGAATCGAAGTCGAAACAACAGCTACATGACCGCCGACTCGTTGGGAAGGACCAGCGAATTCTCAGCGAATTTCGCAACGACTTCTCGCTACTTCGTAGCGAATTCGAGATGGAGTTTCGTTATGAATTCGAGGTGAATTCGATGCTACCTCAATATATAATTGTCGTTGCACATAATTATAATTATACGGAAAATTGATTTATTGCAAAGTAACAAATATAAATATTAGAAAGATATAATTGTTATTTTATTGAGCTTCTTCTGCGCCAACGATTGAAATATTTCCGGGGTTCGATGTCGGCTTGGAGGGAGGTTTCCTATAAAAGAATAATGGAGTTAAAATACAGTAAATCACATCTCTGCTAAATAAAACTCGTTCACCACTTACACTTTCTTTCCGAATCGATCAGCTCCCCGCTTCAAAATTTTCTGGAAGGCTTCATCGACAGACTTCCTGGTAACTGGAACGGCGTTATCATTTTGTGAAAGGCTGTCTGAAAATTCACGCTCGCAAAATTATATTTTCTTATCTCATGCACAATTCCATAGTTCTAAAATGGAACTTACCAAATACAACCTGATTGAGTTCGGGATATTGATTTAAAAATGAAGTCTTCCCACTGCGTCCATGATAACTATGTTGTGATAGCATTTCATCTGAACACAAATATTTTGCCATAAGCTCCAAGCAATCTTCCAAAGTGTTTCCTCCACATTCCGAAAGTAATTTTTTCTACAAGTAATGCAAAAACCTTAAGTATTTTTAATTTTTGGAGACGTAATAATTAAAAAAAAGATGGTTGAGTAGTACCAATGCTATCTTGGGAGCAGGATCCTTCAAGATTTCCTCCAAAGCTTTCATGCTTTCCTTGCTTTTTAGGGGAAAAAATTGACTTGGGAAAGAATATGATTGAGTCACTGGGGGGTTGCGGTCTCGGTTGCTCAACAAATTCTGGATATTAGTCAGCCTTCGTCCGTGCTCATTTTGAGTCACTTTTATTTGATGAAGTTGAGCCAAAATTTCCTTCATGATTTCTAAAATATTATGTAAACACAACAATAATTGAATAACGTATAGCAGCAACAAACATACAAAATGTGCAATATTAAATAATACCGTTATTGATGAAGTTAGGCGAATTGGAATTATTTGTCTGTGTTTGTGATGTTTTGTGCGTATTCCTGTCCCTCTGACGACACCAATATTAAGCTGCCATCAAATTCAGGTGGAAGAAAGAAAGTCGTCTCCCCATTTTCATTTCCTGATTCCAAAGAAGAAACAATTTCAGGAGGACGAGTCGTTACTTGTGGGGGCACAGGTAGGGTTGAAGAGATGGTAGTCGACGACATTTTACTTCTAGTTCCGGTCTGTATTTCAGAATCGCTTAACTTGTTGCCGGTTATTGCCTTTGGAAGTTGTTCAGCAGCTGCATTGTAGGATGCTGAAACGCATTCAATGTTTATAAATGATATTATTATGAAAATTCGACTAATATAAATTAGGAAACACGTATTTTCGGCCCACTTACCAAAGTATTTTAGTATCGTGATTTCATATGTGGCCCAATGGGGTAGTGGCACACCGCCTTTCTTTTTAATTTTCTTGACCCCTTTCTCTCCTGATGGTGGAAATTGGCAATGCGTTGCCTGGTCGTTAATCCAATTTATCGGAACAATTTCTACTGTGTTGTCAGATGGGAAGTGGACAATGACATGGGTTGAATTTGATTGATCCATTTTCAGTCCTCCGAATGAATTAGTGGGAATAGCACAAATCTCTCACTTTTACTGAGGGGAACACAAACACATTTATGAGACACCTCGGAAATAGGGATTAAAAGTTCGGTAGTGTCAACCTTCTTTAAGTTCACTCTGAAAACTAAAACATATTTAGAGTCGCAAGGATATTGAAAATAATTTTTTGGAGCAGAAACGATATTTCCGGCGAGGAAAACTTTATCTACTTCAGTCACAATTTTGCTAATAAGTAAGATTTGTTCACTTTTAAGAAGCACAATATTATTTGGGAACTTTACAGAAATTTTCGTATTTTTAAATGTAATTTCTTTCGACTGCTGGCATGTGTTAGAAGTAATGTTTTTTGAATTATCTGAGAGCTCGATGGTACAACTTTGTTCAGTCAGCCTCCTATGGATTTGTTGGAGAGGAAATTTTGCACTTTTAATTAATCTTTTAATTTTCCCCAGGTAATTCTCAAAACGAAAAGCGCTAAATTCATCTAATGATCCGTGATGTTTGACATCGACCGCCAAATGAATTAATCCGTGGACATTGTAAGACACGTTTTCTCGTCCGTACAGCTCCTTAAAGTTTTCCACAAAAAAGGTCAAGAGGTTGCCAGCATAATCAATATTTGATTCTATTTGGTGTGGTTTTAAAAGAATTCTAATTGCCACAGATAATACTAGAAAATTGTGGTAGAATTTTTCTGGTAAAATGTCCCTCAAAACTACAGGGCCTGTATACAGAAGAAACGTTCTCAATTCCGACGCTTTATACCTATCGCGTTCCTTCAATGTTCTTGGCTTACGAGCAAACTCCTTTGTTAATTTAATACTTTCCAATCTGCTCGATATTTGTGCAGTTTCTGCATGTCGTAACCTGTATGGTGCCCTTGGGCCGTCTGTCCACAATTTTAATAATTTTTTAGTCACGCCTAAGCATGCAAGATGCATG